TAGGGGATGTGTCTATGTGTTTGGAGATCCCTATACTTCTTTCCAAGACCAAAATCAATGATATACACCTACATATATACCAACATTAACCAAGAGAGAAATAAGATAGAATCTTAACATAGCTTCCTCTATGGGAATCATTAGTTTTAACGCGTACCTGGTTTGCTTTCCGACCAAGTCCCATCAAGAAATTGTCTGGTTTGAAGTCACGGTGAAGAAACCCCCTTGAATGCATATACTCAACTCTGCTAATCTACAAATGGTGAACAAACATCTTCAGTTGAAATCTCAAAACTTCCAACACTCTACTCCTTTATCCCCTACAAAAGTTAAGGTAGAATACTCACCCAGTTGATCTGCAAGCATCAGAACTAACTTCAAAGTTAGTTTCCTGTTACAATAATTGAACAAATCCTCCAAACTCGGCCAAGCAGATCAATCACCATCGCATTGTAGTCTACTTGAACCCAACTTGAGGCTAGGGATCCCAGCTTCAACGACACAAAAAAAAACAAAGTAACCCATATGAGATGAGCATGTTTTAAATCAATCATCTAATACTTGTAGATGTAAACTTACTTCACCCACCTGAGAACACTGAGAAAGTAACGCCCATGGAGGCTTAGCTTGCTTCTTCGACTTCTCACCATCCGTCACCACTTCACCTAAATCCATAAAAACATTAGAAATAATAATTAATAAGAAAAAAAATCATGAGACAAACCACCAAACCTGCTATTGTAGGTGTCGCCACCACCTCAGCTTCATGGTTTGTGTCCGCTTCAAGATACCATCACATACACATCAGTTAAAATAGGCTTCTCCGCATTCATAGCTTCAAGATACCATCACATACACATCAGTTAAAATAGGCTTCCGATATATAATCTAATACAGAAAGTTGAGATAATCAGAGCAGAGAGAAACTGATGCAAAAAATGAGCTACAAAATAGAAAGGAAACCAGAGATGAACTCAACAATAAAACTTGCAGACAACTGACAGAAGGTAATAACCAGACATTGCAACATAAAATTTGAAACTTTGGCATAAAAAAAGAGGAACACTACCGTTGCTAACAATGAGATTAGAGCTCAAAACTCACGCAAAGCCAGATTGTTTCAGAGACACAACATACAAAATCTGATGCACTCTAAACAAAGAAATAAACTTTGCTATCTTGCAGTGAGTTACAACATCACATGCGTTGGTGTTCAGACACTTGTAGTAATGTTTCATCACACCCAGAAGTATATCAAACTCATAAAACAGAGATATCAGAATTGCCCAAAACGGGAATTTTAAAGACACCAAACAAACAAACAAAGATTAACCGAGATAATCACTTATCAATTATCTCGCCGTATGAAAGAATAAGTAGATGATTTTTACAGTGATTAAAGATTAAAAGTCTCCACCTTTTTACATCATTGCTCCTATCAGAATGTGCGTGTGGAGGCTGCCAGTGCGAGATCAAGAAACGTCCCGAGGAGGCGAGGGAGAAAGAGGAGCGTTACGAGTCTCTCATGGGTTTGAATCAAGAGCTTAGTTCTTTCAAAAAAAAGAATCAAGAGCTTAGCTTTGTGAGAATTCAGATAATGATCATGGATCCTCCTCCTTGATTGAAAGAAGCCTACGTTTTGGTTAACAAAGCAGATTCGAGAAGAAGCTGAAGAATGTGTTCCCTTGAACAATCGATTTTGTTAGACAATTCTGAGAAAAAAAAGAGAAATAAAGAGAATCAGAGAGATGAAAGCTAAAGGAAGTCATAAATGATGGATCATGTTTGATCTGGAACCGATTTGTAAAAAAGAGGAGGTAAAGAGATGGGAAGAAGATGAATCGTGAGAGGAGAAAGAGCAGAGGCGGACCTAAAACAACAATACCGTCTTTCTGGATAGTGGACCTTGGTTTCGTTTATGGGCCTGATGTTTAATATCATTTGAAGTCCAAAGGGAATAAGCCCAAGTGTAAGCCAAGTTGTAGCTGATGTGGCCGATTCAATCACTCCTATTGGCCAATTATTTTTGTAGACGTGGCAGTGTAAGGAGGCTTTATTTGCCCCTTTTATTCATAGTAGATACTATCGTTTGCTCGTTTGAACTCTAGAGCTGGGGATAGGAACATGTGAATAAAATATTCATTAGCCAATGAACTCATTTATCATTATTAAATTTGAAAAATCTTTTCATAACCGTTATGTGATTCTGACGTAGTTATCCATAAATAATATTAATAAATTTTAGTTTAGTTATATTTTACTAGGGATAATATATTTCATATCAAAAATTTGAAGGAATCTTAACTAATATATATAAAAGGTCAGGGTCAATCTACTAATTATCAATTGGTTTAAGTAGAAAGTCCATAATATATCCGAATCTAATATAGTATTAGAGCTCGGATCATAAAAAAACCTAAACTCATAATTAATTAATTAGCCTTTTTGGTTGAGTATAAAGGTCGTATTTAACATTCCGACTAGGTATAATTGTCGTATTTGACTGGTTCGATCGCGTATAACTGTCTTAAAGGTCAGTGATTTCTGGCCGATAAGAGTCATCATCTCTAATATATCTCACATCGTAAATTCAAAGAGACATTAAATAATATATAACTAGATGATAACGTGCACATGTGGGTGAGCTTTTAAAAAAAATATGATGTATTTAAATACTTTTTTTTATCATAATCTTTTTTACATTTGACTATAGATTGGCATTCGGGTACCATTTGGTTTGGTTAGATTCTATTTGGTTTAGATCTTTGCGGATTTGGCTCGAATCTTTGCAGGTTCGGTTTGGGTTTAGGTTTGGATAATCCATTTATTTATTTTTTAAAATATAAAAGTTTGTATATACTTTAAATTTCTCAAAATCTAAAATTAAAAATAATATATAACATATAAATTTGAAAAATTGAATCCCAAAATACTTAGACTTAACAAAAAAATTGGTTTATCTTAAATATTTAGACAAAAAAATCAATAAATATTTGAAGTACTTAAATATATTAATTATTTTTTAAAAAAATTTGGTTAGAGTACACTCGGTACTCGAAATAATTCGATTAAGTTTCCGTTATTTATATACCAAAATTTTTTTTCCATTTGGATATCTAAACAATTTTGGTTAAAGATTTATACAACTTTTTGGATTAGATTTGGCTCGGTTATTTGGATTCAATTTTTTGTCTAACCCTTTATTTTTTATTGTAACAAAATTTTAAACGAATGGGATGATGGTTCGTATTGATTTTGGGTATGCAAAATTTTAAACCAAAACACACTCCATTATATACGTGGTCCATTTAGTTAATTAATAAAAACTGTTTAAGATCCATTAAAACGATTGGTAGAACTACAGACCATTACCATTGATCACAAAATTTACAATGTGAGATTCTTACCATTTTAATAATTTATGGCCGTTTTAAGAAATTCAAAATATAACATATAAGAAATTTTAATTTTTTTGTTATATGATTAATGTGGTTGTTTAATTTATTTTAATAATATAAAATTAAATAAAAAGTAAAGAGGGTAAAAAGTTGTTAGCAATTCTTTATTATTCATAATCATTAATTATGTTATATATGTTACTTATATTAGGTAATTCCGTAGCTTTTATTTAAAGAAAGAATATAAATTATTTTTTTGTACACTACTAATTAAATATGATAGTTGATTTAATAAAAATATAACATATGTTTAGTTGGACCAACATATTTCTTTAAGAGTTCTGAAAATCATTATCATTGTGACACGTGACTACCAAAAACTGTTGTAATGCTCCAAGATTAATATATAAGGGAAAGGTTAAGAACAATCCACTCATTACCAACTGGTTTTAAGTTGGAAGTCTATAATAAACCCGAATCTAACATATTTCATTTGTTATTTTTTTTTCGATTACTTAAAAACAATTGGATTGATTTATGGTAGACAGAATAACCAAAGACAAACTTCAGGTTTACTAAATCAAAGAAAAAAAAAACGAAAATGTGACTGTAACTCAGATAAACCGAACTGGACCGGACGAAAACGCTCTTTTTGCAGAAAACAGTAACTAAGTTTTATTTGTTGCGCCTATTTGAAGCTTCTTGTTTATTGGTTTTTTGTCCGGCCCTACCTGAGATTTTTACCTTTTTGTTTCTCCATCCACTAATCATCTTTATGTTTGCTCTTCGTTGTGTGGCATCCTTGGTCTCTCTATGGACTATAGTTGTCACTGCAAACACATTATTCCTTTTTTTTGTTTAATTAGCCACATTATTCCTTTTTTTTGTTTAATTAGCCACATTATTTCTTTTTTTTTTGTTTAATTAGCCACATTATTCCTTCTCGTAAAAGATCGAGTGTTACAAAGATCAAGTCCTTTGTGTGAAAGATCGATTCTTTTGTATAAGATCTAGTCTTTTGTGTCGAAAACCATTAATGATATATGTTTATATAAGTTTTTATTTTTGCTTGGGTGTTTGATTACTCTGTTTATGATTATGCAGATGATGTTATTTGATCCTTCAAGACTTACAGATTTCAAAGATGTTACCATGCAAGTTACGGAACGTTGGAACATTCAAGTCTTTTGTCTCAATTAAAAACCAAAATTTTAGTGTCAAAAATCGAGTCTTTTTTTGTGTCAAAGATCGAATATTTTGTATAAGTTGGATGTGTTTTGTCTCTTGTTGGGTTTGAATCGAAAACCATTAATGATATGTTTAAGATTTATTTAAAAAAAAAAGATTGGTTTGGGTGTTTGATTACTTTGTTTTTGATTATGCAGATGTTATTTGATCTGTCAAGACTTGGACAGATTTCAAAGATGTCACCATGCAAGGTACTGAACGTTAGAACATTGTCTTACAAGGTAATACCTTTTAGAGTGTAAAAACAAAGAGAAAAAATAACATAATTTGTTTGAGCTCCTTAGGCGTGTGGGTTTAATCGACTGTGGCGGCAGCAGAGTGCTAGACGGTCGCATAGAAGCGAGCTCGGCCTGTATGCTCTCCTGCGAAGATCCCCTTGGCGGAGATGAGGCACATGGAGATCTGGTTTTAGCAGAAGGTGCTTCGTTGGTTGCGGTGGAGTTACACGTCGATTTAAACAGCCTTGGTGATGTAGCCGGTGGGGTTGAAGATGGCGGAATTCTTTCCGGCATCTCCCCGGTTTAGTTATAGGACTTTTCAATTTCGGTTTAGTTCTAGGATTTCGGTTTAGTTATAGGATTTGAATTGAACCGATGAACCAACAAAAGTACAACAATATAATTTAACCGATTTAGTCTTCTTTGTTTCCCTGGCATGAGCAAGAGATGATCTCTACATCCTTTTTAGATTATTTTTCCCTAACCTTTAACGGTGTAATCATAGTGATTAAATCACTATGCCTGCTGATTGAAACAAAGACTAGAAACTTGACGAGGACATTAATATAGTTTGTGTGTTTGTCTTGTTGTGACTGAATCTAATCTTATATTTGATTTGATGCCCCGACGAGAACATTAACATATCATAGTTTGAGATTGAAACTGATGATGAGTTGTGTGTTTGTCTTTGTACCTAATGCGGACAAAACTTCCAAGAGATGATTTTCCTCAACAGCAGCCGTTGGAGGGTAGAGAATCAGAAGATCTTCTGAAGAGCTTTAGAAGCTTTCCCACAAATGGAGAATCCCAGCGAGTCAGATGTCTTTTATGATGAAAGTTCTGAATAAGGATGACTGCTGCAAAGTGCTTGGGGAGGCAGGGACTGTGAAGAAGGTGATCAAGGACTTGATTGTTGAAAACATTCAAGTAAGAGCTGAAGAAAATGACTTGTTTTGTAAGGATTTCAGAAAGTTCATCACCCAAGACATGCTGAAACTAGTGAGAATGCCGAAGGTGATGACTGTTACAGGAGTCAAAGAAGTCACTCACATCATTGTTGTTCTTTTCATTTAATTATTACATTCAACACAATAAAACTTATGAAAGATTTATGTGAAGTTCATATGATAAATTTAACAAAATAAGCTTATATCATATGTTTATTTTGGGATGAAAATATCAAGAATCACAATAGCTTAAAAACACGACAAGTATTTCATTTTCTATTGTACAATCATTGTACACCACGTAACATAACTATTTCCCTACCAAACTTAACTTAGTATATCTTCTTACCAAACTTAATTTATGATGCATTGTACTTCTTAAGTGTACTTTCTATGTTGATTTAGATATCTTTTCACCAAACATAACTTGTGGTCTATCAAGATTGATTTCTTAACAAGAAAATCATTGAGATGTTAGGCAAAATATAATATATTATATGTAATTTGAAATATTGTTGAATTAGCTCAAGCAAATTTTATCATTTTTAACTATTAGATTTTTCATTATCATCTTTTGAAACTTAGCCTAAAATAAGTAAAATTTTACTCTTATAATCTTACTAAACCAATAAATCTATAAATAGTATGTTTCTTAATAATTTCATACCATTTTCATATTTTCTTGATAATTTAATATATGTTCATATTTTAACTTTTATTGATTTTCACTAAACCAATAAAACTTATAATTGATTTATCTGTAGTTTATATGATAAATTTAACAAAATAATCATATATCATGTGTTCAAAATAGTCATATATCATGTGTTTGTTTCGCAATGATTTTCACAAATACAACTTAAACTTTGGATTTGAAGCATTAAGGTTATACCCCTAGCTTCATCAGGAATGACCACATGATAAAACACTTCATTAGATATTAGGTATTTTGATTAAACTTAGGAGTAGAGAATTAGAAGATCTTCTGAAGAGCTTTAAGAGCCTTTTGGAGCTTTCCCACAAATGGAGAATCCCAGCGAGTCAGATGTCTTTCATGATGAAGGTTCTGAATAAGGATGACTGCTGCAAAGTGTTTGGGGGGGGGGGGGCAGGGACTGTGAAGAAGATGATCAAGGACTTGATTGTTGAAATCATTCAAGTAAGAGCTGAAGAAAAGGACTTGTTTTGTAAGGATTTCAGAAAGTTCATCACCCAAAACATGGAAGAATCTTCTGACCCTAAGAGCAGAAGGAGAGTGGCTCTTCAGTTTTTCATAAGAATGTTAGGCAAAGGAAGTGCAAGAGTGTTAAAGCTGTAAAGAACACAGGCTATCAAGCTGGTTGAAAAGGATCCTAGGGGGATGGAGAGAGAAAGAAGGTAGATTCAGATTGGCTGCTATTTTGACTGAGGTGGATGATCTTGATGTCCAACAGTTCACATGGCCAAACCAGTGACACCAATTATCAGAGCCGCTCATTTGAAGTTTCTCTTGGTAGCTGCTGGTCATGGGCACATATCAAGCTCTTCTTAGAATGGAGATGAGTTGTTATATATGTTGGAAAGGGACATTGGCGCAGGTTCTTGTGTGGTCCAATCATATGCTGCCATTTGTGTAAGTAGGCTCCTCGCGAGGGATAATTTTAGTGGTTGCAACATATTTCCCTTGATGGTAATGATTCTCGAGACATTGGAGTTTAAGAATTCCAGAGACAATGAATATTTAATGACTTGTCTCTTCCACATCATTAAAGTGGCTGATATTAGTGGGGATAATGCTAAACATTGCGCCCCGAAACTTCTTAAAGAGATACGCACAAAAAATCACCAAATAAAATGTTCTACAACCACGTCTCTTAGTCTTCTACGCTTCTTCTTCACAGTCTATGAGAGGAGAATACTGATTTCTTGAATATGGCAGTTTGCGAGGTAGCTCGGGGTGGTCTGGTTGAAGAACTTGCGTGGCTATCAAAAGAAACGGTTATGTTTGTCTCTGACAACACACTTGGATTCTTTCTGGTCAGTTCAATGATTCATGGAATTGATGATTACAACAAGATCAATCCTTACATGACAGGTTGGTGGGCTCATAAGCTCGGTTTTCCTGCATGCATCTCTCCTACTCCTCATGTTTGTTTTCTTGGAGAAACATGGAGTCAACAAACTTATGGAATTTTTGAATTCAGTCTCTCCAACCATTTTCTTTAACATGCTGAAACTAGTGATGATGCCGAAGGTGATGACTGTTACAGGAGTCAAAGAAGTCACCCACATCCTTGTTGTTCTTTTCATTTAATTATTACATTCAACACAATAAAACTTATGAAAGATTTATGTGAAGTTCATATGATTAATTTTACAAAATAAGCTTATATCATATGTTTATTTTGGGATGAAAATATCAAGAATCACAATAGCTTAAAAAACACAACACATATTTCATTCTCTATTGTACAATCATTGTACACCACGTAACATAACTATTGGTATATCTTTTTACCAAACTTAATGTATAATGCATTGTACTTCTTAAGTGTACTTTCTATGTTGATTTGGATATCTTTTCACCAAACATAACTTATGGTCTATCAAGATTGTTTTCTTAACAAGAAAATCATTGAGATGTTAGCCAAAATATAATATATTATATGTAATTTGAAATATTGTTGAATTAGCTCGAGTTTTCTTGATAATTTTAGATATGTTCATATTTTCACTTTTATTGATTTTCACTAAACCAGTAAAACTTATAATTGATTTATCTGAAGTTTATAGGATAAATTTAACAAAATAGTCATATATCATGTGTTTGTTTCGCAATAATTTTCACAAATACAACTTAAACTTTGGAGTAGAAGCATTAAGGTTATACCCCTAGCTTCATCAGGAGTAACCACATGATAAAACACTTCATTAGATATTAGGTATTTTGATTAAACTTAGGAGTAATCAGATTTATTAAGCTTGTATTTTGTGTGTTATAGAAAAAAAGTGTTCTTCTTCTCTCTTTGCTTCTCTGAAATTTCTTGAGCCAATCTGAGATAATATTAGGTAGTAGTGGTTATGAATTTGACTTAGATAGCTTCATGCCTCTATTCCAAGAAAGGCAATGGCAAAAGCAGTATAAGTTTCCTTAGTGGTTATAAGCCTGGTGTGCTTGTGAATCTTTATATCTCAGCTTGGTGTAAATGTTTGTAACTGATTTCAAATCGACTATTATATCAATGAAGATTATTTTTTAGCATATCATTCTTCTTTTAAGATTCCTATAAGGCAGCTGAAATTATCAAATTTCGAAAAGGATATTAATAGGAAAATGGAAATGGATAAATATATCTACAAAATCAAAGTTAGATTATTTGATCTTTATTCTCTTCCAATGGATTCTTCACCATCCATTTATTTTGCATTTCTCAAGAAAAAAAAAAGTAAACACAAAATAAACAATCCAACATAAAGGTTTTTAGTTGGAAAATTTAATTCTAATTTTTGTTGTTTCATCTTCTTTTGGGGCCAAAAGAGACCAGATTCATGTTTGGTTTCTTCATAGGCCAAACCTTTTTTTTTTTTTTTTCAGGAAACCATTTTGCCATCTTGGATTCTAGGTTCAAAAACATCCATGAACTTGGAGTAACCAATAATCATCTTGTAGTAACAATTCAGGAAGATCCATAAAAACATATACATTATAAAATGAAACTGAATTGCTTGTTTTGTTGTATGTCTGAGAAACGATTTACCAGACGATCATCATCCAGACCAAGCATCAAAGACTGCATTCATGCAAATAACAACCTTTCTAGATTTGACAACATCTCTTTTAAAACAGGTCCCATTTGTTACCTATTATTTTTAAAGCTTCTTTATCTAAAAGAAGCTGGCATATATACTTGCAGATAGTAGTAGGCGAAGATACATATCCGAGGAGATAGCAAAACTCGGGAAAGGGAACATCAGTGCTCAGATCTTTACGTTCAGAGAGCTCTGTGTTGCCACCAAGAACTTTAACCCTGAGAATCAGCTCGGTGAAGGCGGTTTCGGAAGGGTTTACAAAGGGCACATAGAAACCCCTGAAAAGGTATACATATATACTTTTGCAACATCTCCTCCAATACATAGTCTTGTTAAAGCAGTTTGATTACGATTCTTGCATTATTCAGATTGTTGCGGTTAAGCAGCTAGACAGGAATGGCTACCAAGGGAATAGAGAGTTCCTTGTTGAAGTCATGATGTTGAGTCTCTTACATCATCAAAACCTTGTCAATTTGGTTGGATATTGCGCAGATGGTGATCAACGGATCCTTGTCTATGAATATATGCAAAATGGCTCATTAGAAGATCATCTTCTCGGTATGTATACATACACTAAAAACATTACAAACACACATATATTCTATAGTTTTGTAAGAATAATCACCTCTTTATTATTATTATTGTTTCAGAATTGGTGCGGAACAAGAAGCAACCGTTGGATTGGGACACAAGGATGAAAGTTGCAGCAGGAGCAGCGAGAGGGCTCGAGTATCTACACGAGACAGCTGATCCTCCTGTGATCTACAGAGATTTCAAGGCCTCAAACATATTACTTGACGAAGAATTCAACCCGAAACTTTCGGATTTCGGCTTAGCTAAAGTTGGTCCGACCGGTGCAGAGACTCATGTCTCTACGAGAGTAATGGGAACGTACGGCTACTGTGCGCCTGAGTATGCTCTCACGGGACAGCTCACAGTTAAATCCGATGTTTACAGCTTCGGAGTCGTGTTCTTGGAGATGATCACAGGAAGAAGAGTCATCGACACAACGAAATCAACTGAAGAACATAATCTAGTGACTTGGGTATAATAAGTAATGCAAAAGTTGTTCATCAACTTTGAGATCTCTTGTTTTGTTTTCTTTAAAATTGGTTTGCTAAAAAATGTGCAGGCGAGTCCGTTGTTTAAAGATAGGAGAAAGTTCACGTTAATGGCGGATCCGTTGCTTGAAGGGAAGTATCCTATAAAGGGACTGTATCAAGCGCTTGCAGTTGCAGCAATGTGTCTTCAAGAAGGAGCAGAAATGAGACCAATGATGAGTGATGTAGTCACTGCGCTTGAGTACTTAGGAATGACCAAAGTGGAAGAAGATAACAACAACAAAGAAGGAGAAGAAGAAGAAGAAGATGAAAGATCTAAGGTTTAATCATTTTTTATTTGTCTTGATGCATTGCACAAATTTGTAAAACATCATGGAATCAGCCTCAGAAGGAGACAAGCCTAAGATCGAGGAGGTTCTCAGAGTTAAAAACGCTGAGGGAAGAACCTCTTGACTGAGAAAGCAATGAGGGGATACATGATTCATTCTTGGATCACTCTCTCAAAAGGCTTGCCAAAAACTTCAATAGCTTCTTCTTATAGAGAAGTCATATCTGTTTTTGGTACATCAAGTTGGAAAATCTCAGTTCTGTCTCGATGTGTTACTTTTAAGTTTGGTCCAATGTCTAAAGCAGCTGCATGACTTTAAAATAAAGATTGATCTCATTACTAGCAAACGGTCACCTTAGAAAACCAAAGAGAAATTAAGTTTGAAATTTTGCTATAAGAAAAAAAAAACATCTTTAAATTTTAAATATGAAGTTTTGTAAATTTTAAAATAAAGTTTTTTTGGAGATGCTCTAATCCGAACTTATTAGTTTTATATAAGTAAATCTGTTTGACCACTCTAAGGAAATAAGTAATATGTTTGGCAGCACGGTTTTCAAATTTATCATGGTCATCATGATTCCTATTTTACGCATCATCAAAATTCATCATCAATTTATGCGGTATGCAAATAGACGATTAAAACAAATGCTTGCTTTGTTTATATTTTCGATGTGCATCATGCGAAACAAAACTAGGATCTGCAAAATCTTGAATAGACTATACTTATACATATATCACCATCCAATAATATATCGTGTCAAACATTCACTACGATAAAGTCGTCAAAAGTCTAAAGCTTACGGAGCCTCTTACGTCATACATGGCTGATGGAGAAGGGACACGATATTGTAACACCAACAACACACATCAAAGATTCGGTTCAACACTTACCAATTCGAACTTCATGCCTCACTACAACTACAGCATGTTTGTACATGCTTTATGATAATATATATAACAATTACCCTGCCGACTATAAAGGTTCAAGAACGTGGACCGACTATCTATGATCATATATTATATACATTTAACGTTTTATTTTTAATTAGCTATTTGGAGTTTTAGCTAGGGTTTCTATGTGTTGCCTTCATCACGTTTTCTGTTTGAGTTTTTTCAAGAAAACGAAGACTAAATCTGCTTGCCACGTTATAAACCATATTATCGCTAAAACACTTAGTAGCAGTTCCCCACGAATTACATATTTCCATCGTTGACTACATTATTTATGACGAACACTTTCCCCTAAACCAATAAATTGCTGTACATTTTGCATATACACTTCTAGATTTGATACTAAGCGCAATATATATTGGACTATACATATCGAGTGAGGAAAAGTATTATATATTGACCAGAAAATATAAGCTAAAATGAATTTAATTTATCATATTTCCGACTTTTTGTTCTGCTTTTTTTGATATGCCATGATTGATTATATTTTCTATAGATTATATGATAACAATACTTATAATACTTAAACTGAGTAATCTTAAAGAGAAAGTAACGTTATTTCTTTTAACATTAATTTATCAATAAACTATAATGTATTTGTGATTATCATTATAGGACATTTTTTAATTAAATGGCTTCACTTTTATTGGAAAATTTTTAACAACAAAAAATGCATTCGGGTTCACTTATTTAAAAATATATTATTTATTTATTTAAATGTTAATTTTGTCTTAACTTTTAACTAATGAAACTTAATGTAGCAAGTCTCAAAGTTGATGTGTACATTTATTTCTCCACTAACTCAACAAGAGGTGTTCCACTTCCTTTGTATGTCTTTCTTTGCTCTTGCACACAAAGAAATCAAACTACTCAAACTGCCAGCAACAAATAATATTATCGTTTAAGTAATAAAATAAACACAATTATAGAATAAAGGGCCAAATTGTGCCAAACCAACAAGTTTCATGCCCTTTACCTCCGTTACTATATAGTTGTCACATTTTGAAAGAATTGGGCAAACAAAAGTCTAATACCATTTTTAGCTTCTCACAAGATCCAACCACTCTTCATCAAACTTTTCTCTAAGAAAATTCCAATGGAAAACTCAGCACTGAGCAACTGCGTGAAGCGTACGATATTCTCTACTCAAAAGAAAACAATACAAGAGGGTCTAGAAGAGAGTAGTTGGACAATGTACTTTGAGACCGAAGATCATTCTACATGCCATTATGATGATTCTTCCATGATATCTGACGCTGCGTCCCCTATGGCCTATGACGAAGAAGACACGGCTTCATCTCCTTCTAAAAGAACCAAGGTAAATCCAAAGAGAAGACAAACTTAATATAATACATACGTTGTTACATACATGATACATACGCCTAAAACTACAAAAGATTATTTATGCGTTATATGTTATGCTTGTTCGTTCAGGGTTACAGTGAAATGGAAGACGATACTACAAAAGAAAAAAACATGAACAATACTAAAACTGAGGTATGAAACTTTCAACATGTTTTATACGATATTTTCCTTAATACATTATTCTTAATCTTACGGGGTTTATAGGATATTCTTACGGCTTACAGAATTTTTCTTACAAACATGTTCTGACGACATACAAAATATTCTTACGGGTTTTATAGGAGAAAGGATTGAATAAGAAAGGGATAATGAGTGAAGATTATTGCGCAGAATTGAAGAAGCGAGGACTTTGCTTAGTTCCTTTGTCCATGTTGTCCAACTATATTGGTTGATACTTTGATTGTTTTTTCAGTCATAATCTTTAAATTTTGATTGTGAATTATTGTTGTCTGTAAGATCTAGAATGGACTAGTAAATGTAGTGAATGTGAAGTTGACGGTGGGTGATGTACTTTATGTGCAGAAGTCACAAGCAAGAGTGTCAGATTTATAAAACATTTCCAAACATGTGTAACAAAAAGTTAACATGTATCCGTGTGTCGCAATATTGGTACAGTCACATACATATATGTACTTTTGATCCTCATGTCTAATGATTGAAGTATCCATTATGTATATATTCTTCGATTCCTTTTAGTAGGTACGATCGTCTTCATATTACAAAGTGAGAATCATTATTTAAAAAAAGAAAAGAAAAAATGAGAACAAATTATATAAAATATAGCAGTTTTGTCAACAAAATGGAGAGTCTACAACAATTCTAAAATCAAATTGGTGATATAAAAAGTCTAGATAAACTGGCGGTTTTACTCGAACACTTTGTGGTATCTTATCTATTTCTGTATTGATTGCGTATGGAATAAGTAAGATATCAGTTGTCCAATGTGTTAAAAACTCTTCACATCTCTTAATTTTTACAAAATGAATTGAGGAAAAAAAATCATTCAAATGGTTTAGACATTATACATACCAACTCTGAAAAACTGTTCTAAAAATTAATTATTTATTTTGATATGCAATCATACATTCCATAATTAAAACATGCTTTCATTAAGATAATAAACTATCTCTTATATTTCTTGTAAAAATAAATATAAGTAAACCTAAGAGAATAGAAAGAAAACCTCAGACTGTATTGATTTGAAACAGCTGTTCTACGGAGAAAACCTCAGAGTATAGAAAGAAAGTTTTGTATGACACTATCTTAGTTTCTTGATCCTTCAATTTCTCTATATACACTAGAGATGATGTATCAGTACTTGTCGGGAATATTGTCTCAATACTCACTAGATGGGCTAAGACTTATAAGGCCCAGGAAATGGTGACGGGCCTGAAGAGTGTTTGAAGAGCAAAGGCCCAGTCGTCTAGGTCAAGTTGGAACCTGCATATAAAAAGGAAACAACAAGGTGCCTTAGGGGTGACGGCAACAAAAAAGGATCAGATTGCAAGGTTCAGGAGAAGCAGATTGTCTTGGTGAAAAGATCGTCTGAGTTTACAAAAGAGGTTAAGCAATCAAGGAAGAAGAACTAGGTTGTAGTTCTTAGCTCTAAGCTTTGGTGTAGAAGTACTTTGAGCTCTCATCTCTTGTATTACTCTCTTTGTACTTGAGATAGTGGATTGGAAGCTGAGTCTTCCCCCAGACGTACCTTTTGGGAACTGGGTTAACAAACTTGTGTCTTGTCTCCTACAAAACAAACAAACAATCATACACACTAGTTTTAGTTTAACTTGAACTATAAGCTTGGTTGAGTTCCGCAAACTACTAAGTTAAGGTATTGAGTTCATCAGTTTGATAACTAAATTTCCTAACAAGTGGTATCAGAGCATCAGGTGCTAGCTAAAGGAAACGGTTGAGGTTCCAGAAGCTACTGGTGTAGTGTTTCGTTGAATCTTGAGTTATTGATACTCTCACGGTCTAGTGGGAAAACAATGAAGAGCTCAAAGATTAAGATCGAGGTTGAGAAGTTTGATGGAAAAGGGGATTTTGGCATGTGGAAATTCAAGATGCTTATGCAACTTGAGAATTCTGATCTTGACAGTGTATTGAATGAGGAGGAAACAAGCTCCTTGGCTGAAAAAGAAGTAGATGAAGAAGAAGATATTAAAACAGGCACCAAGAAAGTAACTCTAACTCGGAAGGAAAAGGATAAACGCGCTAAGAACATGATTTGTGCCAGTCTGAGTAATTTGGTACTTCGGAAAGTAATGAAACAGACCACAGCTCTAGGGGTTTGGAAGGCACTTGAGAAGGACTACCAAACAAAGACACTACCAAACAGAATCTATCTAAAGCAAAGGTTTGCTAGTTTCAAGATGGAGGAGCATCGAAGTGTGGAAGAGAACCTTGATGTATTCTTGAGGTTGGTAGATGACTTAGAAAGCTTGAATATTACGGTAAGTGATGAGGACCAAGCAATACAGGTTCTATCAAGCTTACCTAAACAGTTTGACTCTCTAGTTCATACTCTGAAGTATGGGAATGGCAAGGAGACATTAACTTTGCAGGAAGTCACCACATCTGCGTATGCAAAAGAGGTTGAATTGAAAGAAGCTGGATTGATAGGAAAATCAAAATCAAGTGCTGAAGGACTGATTGTAGGAAGAGGTAGATCTGAAACAAAGAGTCAAGGTCCTTGGAAAGGGAGGTCAAAGAGTAAAACAAATAGGTCGAAATCTCGACCAAGAGGACCAGGAAAACCGAGAGAATGCTGGACATGTGGTAAAGAAGGACATTACAAGAAAGATTGTCCAGATAAGAAGAACTGGAAATCGAATGAAGCTGCTAATGTAGCTCATGACAAAGAACAGCCAATGATCCTAACAGCGAGTACACATGATCCTATGAAAGAATGGGTTATGGACTCTGGATGCACTTTTCACATAACACCCGAGAGGGATGTTTTGTTTGACTTCAAAGAATTCGATGGAGGTAAAGTCCTCATGGGTAATAACACCCAAAGTGAAGTAAAAGGCATTGGGAAGATTAAGATCATAAACGCTGAAGGAGCTCAGATCATCTTAAGTGACGTAAGGTACATGCCTTCTATGGGTAGAAATCTTATATCCTATGGTCAGTTAGAGAAAAATGGGTGCAAGTATGAAGGAGAGAATTTCAAAATCACATTCTACAAGGAAGGGAAGAAGGTATTGACTGGAAAGTATCACGATGGATTGTATTATCTTCAAGGATCTGTTGTTAAAGGAGAAGTGACTGTGGTCAAAACAGAAACTAATCTTACGAACAGATGGCATTCTAGATTGGGTCACATGAGTTTGAAGAACATGAACCTCTTGGTTAAAGGAGGGTACTTAGATTCTAAAGAAGTGCACACTTTAGACTTCTGTGAAAAATGTGTCTTTGGTAAAGCTCACAAGCAGAGTTTTCCTGAAGGGAAACACTCGTCTAAGGAGAAGTTGGAATATATTCATAGTGATCTTTGGGGTTCAGTGTCTAATGAGCCCAGTCTTTCTGGCTGCAGGTACTTTCTTACGTTTATTGATGACTACTCTAGAAAAGTCTGGATTAGATTTCTAAGGAGTAAAGATGAGGTATTTGAAAATTTCTCTGAATGGAAGTCTCTAGTTGAAAATACTACAAAGAAAAAGCTGAAGTATCTTCGTACAGATAATGGCCTTGAATTCTGTAATGTGAAGATGGATCGGCTCTGTAGTGAATCTGGAATTAAAAGGCACAAAACGTGTGTCTATACTCCCCAACAGAATGGGGTAGCAGAAAGGATGAACCGGACAATAGCTGACAAGATAAGATGCATGTTAGCAGAATCTGGTTTGAGCAAATCATTTTGGGCTGAAGCTGCATGTACTGCAGTGTATTTAATAAATCGAACTCTTAATGCTTCACTAAAGTTCAAGATACCCGAAGAGTTATGGACAGGTTCTAAGGTTAATTACAGTCACTTGAGAAGGTTTGGATGTGTTGCTTACGTGCACACAATACAGGACAAAATGAGTCCTAGAGCTGTAAAAGGAATTTTCTTAGGCTATCCTCAAGGAGTCAAAGGCTACAGAGTATGGTTACCAGAAGATGGGAAGTGCTCAAATAGCAGAAATGTTGTGTTCGATGAAGAAAACATTTATCATGACTCAGAGAAGACGGTGGTAAAATCTAAGAAACCTAAGAAGGTGACGTTTAGCACCGAATTACTAAAAGGACCATCAACTCAAGATTACACTAGTCAAGGTGTAGACGTATCTGAAAATAGTGACTCTACTGGTCAAGGTGGAGAAGGGTCAGAACAAGAAACCTCAGAGGAACTAAGTGAATCTGAAGAAGAAGATGTATCTGAGGAAGACAGGTTGGTACAAACCGGGAATCTAGACTTAGATGGTTACATACTAGCAAGAGATAGAGAACGAAGAGTGATCAAGCCTCCATCAAGATATGAAGATGGGGATTCTGTTATAGCTTACGCTTTGGCTTGTGCTAATATCGTTGAAATGGATGAGCCAAGGACAGTTGCAGAGGCTAAAAGAAGCAAGAATTGGAAACAATGGAAGGAAGCTATGTCAGAAGAAAAGATATCTCTTGATAAAAATGATACATTTGATCTCGTTCCAAGACCACAAAAGCAAAGAGTGATAGGATGTAAGTGGATTTATAAGTTTAAAGAAGGAATCCCAGGAATTGAAAATCCAAGGTTCAAGGCTCGGCTAGTAGGAAAAGGATACTCACAAGTCGAAGGAATAGACTATAATGAAATATTTGCTCCTGTGGTAAAGCATGTGTCAATAAGAATCATGTTGTCTATCGTGGTAAATCATGACTTGGAGTTGGAACAGCTAGATGTTAAAACAGCGTTTTTACATGGAGTTCTTGATGAGGTGATTTATATGGAACAGCCTGAAGAATTTGTGGAAAAGGGAAAAGAAGAATTGGTGTGCCTTCTAAAGAAATCCCTATACGGACTTAAACAGTCCCCGAGGCAGTGGAACCAAAAGTTTAATGAGTTCATGAAATCTCAGGGGTTCACACGGTGTACAAAGGACCCGTGTGTCTACACTAAAGGCAAGACGGTGAATGACATGGTCTATCTATTACTCTATGTTGATGATATGTTGGTAGCGGCAAAAGACATTGTGAAAATAAATGATCTTAAGAAGAACTTGAACAAGATGTTTGAGATGAAAGATCTTGGACCAGCATCAAGAATCCTTGGAATGGATATAAAAAGAGATAGAAAGATTGGAGTGCTAAAACTTTCACAGGAGAAATACATAAATCAAGTTCTGAGAACATTCAACATGGAAGATAGCAAAGCAGTGGTCACGCCAAGTAACTCTCTGTTTAAATTAAGAAGTCTAAGGCCTGAGGAAATAGAAGCAGAAAGATTGGCTATGGATACGGTTCCGTACGCAAGTGCAGTAGGAAGCTTGATGTATGCAATGGTTGGTTCCAGACCAGATTTAGGATACGCCATTGGAGTGGTGAGTAGATTCATGGCAAATCCAGGAAGAAGTCACTGGGAAGCAGTTAAGTGGATCCTAAAGTACTTAAATGGAGCAGCTAACGTATGTTTAACGTTTACTAAAACAGAGAAGTTTGAGATAGAGGGATTTTCTGATTCAGACTACTCGGCAGACTTAGATAAAAGAAGATCTGTGTCAGCCTACGTGTTTAAGGTTGGAGGAAATACAGTAAGCTGGAGGTCATGTTTACAACAGGTAGTTGCTCTATCTACCACGGAAGCGGAATATATGGCTCTATCTGAAGCAACTAAAGAAGGTATCTGGTTAAAGGCTATGTGTGAAGAACTGGGATTCAAGACGGAGTCATTCAAGCTAAATTGTGACTCACAAAGCGCAATCTGCCTAGCAAAGAATAGTGTGCACCATGACAGAACAAAACATATAGCAAGGAAGTATCATTTTATACGAGACATCATAGAAGAAGGTTCAGTCAAAGTTCAAAAGGTACACACTTCAGATAATGCAGCAGATATGCTAACAAAGAGTTTACCTGGTAAAAGTTTCGAGAAGTGCCTTGGCCTTCTCAAAGTAATTCCATAGTCTGTCTGAGGCATCCCTAGGTTCTTGATTGTTGAGTTGACAAGGACCTCGTAACAGGGATGACAAACAAATACTGAAAGAAGTCAGTATTGGTAACAGGAAAAACAACTCAGGTTAGTTTCGAACGGTAAAGTTTGAAAGGGAGTTAATCTACGGTATTCAGCAGATTAAATGGTTTTCTATGGATTGATCTACGGTATTCAGCAGGTTACATGGATTTCTATGGATTGATCTACGGTATTCAGCAGATTAAATGGTTTTCTATGGAATAATCTACGGTTTTCAGCAGGTTATTGGATTTCTAAATATTAACAACTTCAGAGAATGACTGGTTTTCTTATACATTTACAAGCAATCATTGGATTTAGCAGAGTTAATTCTTATAGGATGACACTAGAGTTAACTCATAAATTGCTACAAGAAGAGTGTATTGATGATACCATTTTTCAGCTGGGATTTCTTTAGAGATTGGTCTTGAAGTATCTCTTGTCGTACTGCAGAAGACAAAGAGAGGATCAAAATCTTTATAAGATTATTAAGGTGATGAAAGGGAATCAAAGAAGATGAGCGTCTTATCTGATAGTAACACGCGGTTGAAGGTGGAGACTTGAAACGGTGAGATTAGTCGACGAATCTCGGTGTTTTTTGGACTCGAGGAGCTTTCTTTCTTCTGGTAAGAATGAAGATCAGTTAAGTCATATGTTGAGGTTGGGTACAGAAGACGAATGTGCAGTAGTGAAGCATGAAGAAGAAGAACATCAAATTTCAATTGGTTAAAATTGATTAGGATGAGAAAAGAGCAGAAGTGTACCTGAGGTGAATTGGTGAAGATTCATTGGTAAACGGTACCGAGGTAGAGGTTGAGAGACGGAGAAAGAGTCGGTGAAGGTGGAGCTTTCGCGAAGACCCGTATAGAGACAAAGGTGGAGTTTGTCGGGAATATTGTCTCAATACTCACTAGATGGGCTAAGACTTATAAGGCCCAGGAAATGGTGACGGGCCTGAAGAGTGTTTGAAGAGCAAAGGCCCAGTCGTCTAGGTCAAGTTGGAACCTGCATATAAAAAGGAAACAACAAGGTGCCTTAGGGGTGACGGCAACAAAAAAGGATCAGATTGCAAGGTTCAGGAGAAGCAGATTGTCTTGGTGAAAAGATCGTCTGAGTTTACCTGGAGGTTAAGCAATCAAGGAAGAAGAACTAGGTTGTAGTTCTTAGCTCTAAGCTTTGGTGTAGAAGTACTTTGAGCTCTCATCTCTTGTATTACTCTCTTTGTACTTGAGATAGTGGATTGGAAGCTGAGTCTTCCCCCAGACGTACCTTTTGGGAACTGGGTTAACAAACTTGTGTCTTGTCTCCTACAAAACAAACAAACAATCATACACACTAGTTTTAGTTTAACTTGAACTATAAGCTTGGTTGAGTTCCGCAAACTACTAAGTTAAGGTATTGAGTTCATCAGTTTGATAACTAAATTTCCTAACAGTAATATGCATACAAGTAGAACTTTTATTCATTCAAAATGAGAAACAAATGGGTAAAAAAAAAATCAAACAACAAACACCAATGGACACAAACACACGTGGAAAGAGAATGAGAACAAAAGACAAAACATAAACTTATAAGTGTAGAAATAGAGTGGAAGCAAGAGCAGCCCCGAGAAGAGCAGAGACAAATGAAGAACATGAGGAAGCTGCACTGTTTGGAGTTTCTTGAGATGTAGGCGTAGTTGCTGGGGGCTCAAGGTTGCTTGTGAAAGGCGGAGAAGGAGCGGCTTCTCCTGAGGGAGCCGGGGCTTGAGACGGAGGTGATGATTTGCCGCTTCTGTCAGCCATGACTATGACCACGAGCTTCTCGTTTTTGTTGCAGCTGTCTTTGTTTCCGCTGATGAAATAGTAAGGTCCAGAGTGGGTTAGTGCGAAGGATGTTTTGCCGTCAGCGAATTTAGCGGTTGGTGCATCCGTGTTGCAGCTGTCGTAAGCGTCTTTTGTGACTTGGAGCACTGAATCTTGGTCTGGTTGGTAGACGAACACTGCACTTATATACATTTTTGTGTATGTCATATTTAAAAAAAAAACTATGGTTATGGACTTATGGTTGGTTAGTAATGTGTGGAAACTTACGTAGAGAGTCGCCTACTTGGAATCTGCTCTTCTCTGCCCATTGACTGTAAACTTGAGAACCAGAAGGAACGGTCCAACCTTTTGCACCACCGACAGTAAACTCTCTAGCGTAGGCTTTGTTAACGATCATGAAAAAACACACGAGACTTAACCAACGAAGCATCATGTTCTTTAGGTTACGTGTAATCAAGATGTACTAGAGAGATGTATGTAGACTTAGTGTAGTATAGTTGTTGATGAGACATGATGAAAGGTTAGTGAGTTTATATAAAGATATGGCTTTTGAGGAAATGTTGCAGAGAAGCTTTTTATGGTCTTTCTCAGACTTTAAGCAAAGCATAAATGCATGCAAGAAATGTTTTTAGTTTTGGAATCTTATGTGACTTGCTTCTTCTGTCAATAGCTTTTGTTCCTTGCTTCTGCATCTTTGATTTTATATTTTAATATTATTCCAGATAAAGATAGTAAAGAACAAAGAGAGATTTCAAAAAAAAAAAAATCGAAATTAAAGACTAAAAATCAAACAAAAGTATAATACAACATATCAATTTTTTTCAATATAGATCAATCATATTACAAAGATCTTTCCACATCTGCTCCTTCCTCTGTTGAGCAACATCATCAAAACACCAAACTTACCAATAATGCTAACTTTAGTTATGTCTTCAGTAATTAATCCATCATTAGTGCAAAAGCCGCTGCCATAGCGAAAACAAGTGACATCAAGACACTGATACCGTGTCTATGTCCCAAGCTCTTCTTTGGGAAATGTTTTGGAAGCGCACATTCTTCTCCATTGAAGAAAAGTTTGGTAGGGAAACCGTCACCTGCTGGTATATTCAGTCCTTTAATGTTCTTTTTAGTAAAGGAGATAACAGATTGTTGCTTGCCAGGCACGGGAGGGTCTCTTAGTGGATTTGTTCCGTTAACTTGACCCACAAGGTAGTTCATATCACGTAGCCCTTGGAACATAACGGTTCTGTTGTTTGGTGGAACACGTGTTCCATTAAAGGAATAAACGTTTTCATACCCTGGACTTGCTTTTCCCATCTCAACCGCCACAAACCAATCCTCAAACGCGAAATCTCTCCAGTTGAAAACGGTTAACCTAGCCGTCCAACCGTTTCTGTAATCCGTGTTAACGTGCCAGTTAATGCTGACTCCACAGTTATCCGGACAGGGTAGTTTCTTGGGTATTGGCATGTGGTTTTGTTTGGCCCATGCTTTAGCTTTTAGGGTTCGGTTATCGAAGGGAACAAGGAGCGCGTCTGGAGGGAGGAGGAGAGGGTTACGGTCAGCGTTGCAAGTGGTGGTATCAATGTCATTGCATCCGCAAGCGCAAGTGTTGCAAGGTATTGCTGAGTTGTTGTAAAATGCTGAGAAAGAGACACAACATCTTGAGGCTTGAGCTTTGGGTTTGGTTATGTTGCAAACAACTTGCCAGCTGGCTATGGCGTAGGTTACAGCCGGTAGACCGCTAGAATCCGGGAATTGCGACGGGTCAACCCGTACAGGTGGCCCGCATTTGTACTGTGGATTGAGGACTCCATCGATTTTCCAGTGTTGAGGTGGATAGAGAGCTGTTCTGTTTAGATCCGGAGGTAACTTGAAAACCTAGCACAACAAAAAAAAAAACAATTTTGAACCGATAAACTTGATGATCTAACATATAATCCGGTTCAATTTTTTTTTAAAAAAAAAATTGAAAACTCGGAAAATGTATGTACGATAAGGATATTGGTTGAACCGGATGGTGACTCTTATTTTTTATTTTTTGGTCAAAGGTGACCCTTATTTAAAACAATTTTTTTGTAAGAATAATTATTTTAATAACTGAGCATTTCAAAATTTATGATTTATAGATTTTGATAAACTTTTGCCAAGCCTGAAGAAATGAAAAATAATGATAAAGAAGAAAAAAAATTGGTTGATGTAATTAGCTATTATTTTGTTCTCATTGATAACTTATTTTGTATGTACGATAAAGATATTGGCTGAACTGGATGGTGACCCTTATATAAAATATTTTTTTTTAAGAATAATTATTTTAATAAGTAAAAACTTCAAAATTTGGATTTATAGGTTTTGATAAAACTTTGAGCATCCTGAAGAAATGGAAAAATAATGATAAAGAAAAAAAAAAATTGGTTGATGTAATTAGTTATTATTTTGTTTTCATTGATAACTTATTATTGTTTGTATATTTCCGGTTTTTTAATGTACAAAATTATTCAGTAACTCAGTGACTAAAAGTGGTTTAAAACAATGGACAATAACAAAAAATTCAAAACCCTAATTATCTGCGATTCAAGACATGTTTTAAAACAAAAGAGATATCGTTTACCTGCAACTGAAACATAGATCGAGATTTTGAAGGATCCATAAGAGGTGGCAAAAGAGTTCCGTTTTTGCAACAGAAAGGTAACTTCCCCGTCACCTCATCATCCTTCCTCTCAGGAGGCAAATCAGAAATGGCTGGCTTCTTCTGACAATTCATGACCTGAGAGAAATCTAAGTCTTTGTAATATTGTCCAGCTCTGCTGTAAAGGCATTCAGATGGATCTCTTTTGTATGTGTAAGCTCCTCTCATCGTGTTTATAATCTCTCCTCGCGTCCATTCCCATGTCAGGTTCCAACGGTCTAAACGCCCGAGCGGATTCTCGTTGTCTATGGTCACTTGTGCTAAGTAGTTGCTCCCAAATGATTGCAGCACATCGTATACTATGTTCAGATCACCGTGTCTTCTTGGTGCAAACTTTGTCTTTGGCCCTGTCTTGACTTTGAACTTAGGGTTTCTCTTGCAACAAACGTTCATACTGCCTCCTGTGGAAGAAAAAACCCAAACGTTTTGAAAATCACATTCAATTTTTATTAAAACATCTTTATAAATTACAAATGTGAATGGAATATTACGTTTTGCATTGCATTAACAACTTCCAAATATAATTGATGAAATTAAAAAAAATTAAAACGTTGTGTTTTTTTAACACTTAAACCTAAAAAATGCACACATGTGTTACTTGTGTTTCAAGAAATCAAGTTTGGCATGATCTAACCTTTTCTTTTAGCGGCAGGACATTCCCAACCGTCATTCATGAGCTTAAGTGTTCTTGGCATAGGTGTGACCCCCTTTGCAACCCCGAAAAGAGTCCCGGTGATTTCGATATTCGTCGATATCTGAGTGAAATCACCAGCGGTTTCAATCGAGGTTTTCAAATCCGTGTTTGGAGATCCAACGAACGTGGTTCCATTGCTAGCATCCAGAGGAAAATCACCGTCCATTGGAGACGCACCAGTCGCAGAAACGATCAGTTCCTTGTGACGAAACCCTATAAACATTTGCCATCCCGTGAGCGCTTCTTTTCCCGCGTTTACAATCATCGCTGAAGATTTAAACGCCCAAGATTGCGCGGTCACGTTCTTAACGTGAGGGTACTCTCTCTCGCGGCTGCCGAAGCTGTAGCTCATGAAGATACCGTTGCAACCCGCCATCTCTGGCGGCGGCTCGCCTCCTCCTGCTCCGTCTTCCGTCGGTGTTCCATAATCTTGGCCGTTGCAAATAATGAGAACTGATGATAATAAAATCAACAGAGATAATGAATAGCGTGGTGTCCAAGGTACCTTCATCGTTTGAATTTTGCTCTTTCTCCCTTACCGCCTTGTGATTACTTGAACCGCAAGGCAGCAAGAGAACAGAGGGGGGGGAAAGGGAATTAACCTAGCCTTTGAGAGGATTGTAATCAAACGATGAAGGTTTCAGTGTGGAGAAACCTGAAAAAAAAATTGAAAACCCAAAAGTTTTAACTCAAAGGAAGGAAGATATGGTAGAGAAGAAGAGGTTCTTAATAGGCAGGTTTGATATGAGCCGTTGGTTTTATTTAGTGGTCACGCGGACATGACATGTAAGAATGTGTGTTTAAGACAATGCTAATTTTGGAACAGAGCTTCTTATTTGTTTATTAACTAAAAACTGTTTCAGTTGTTTTCGTAATGAAACAAACTCTGTTTTTTTTTTGTTCTTTTTCATGAAACCTCTAATGATTTGTCGACTCGAATAGAACAAGAAAACGTGTTGTGGTGAATTGATGTTTGAACCCTACAGATAAACAAATATGAAATTAAAGTATCTTTATACAATCTCGCCATTCTTTTATTTTTTTAGTCAAGAAACAAACAAAAAACTAGAGCATCATTATCAGTAGAATACTTGACATGAGTCCATTAGTCTTTATAATATAACCAAAAAATAAAACAAACTTTTTTAAATAAAGAACACAAACTTTAGCCTTTCATAATTTTTATAGGATTTTACAGACAGTTGCCATTTTAATTTTCTTTTTCTAGCCATTTCAGAAAAAATCAAAATAAAAGAGGTGGTGAGATACTATAAGTAAAATGTTCTTATTACATTTTACTATTGATATTTCAACTAGTTTCTAGAGATTGGAATAATTAAAAATAGAAAATAAAGAGAGAGATAAACAAATTATGAAAACCCTTTCTCATATAAGAAACTTTCAAATAGTTATAAGAAACACCCTACCTATCCAAGTGTCATTTTCTAGTTGAATCTCTTTTTATAAATGAATATATATTTTGAGAAAATGTTATAAATGAAAAATAATAATAGAATTATATCATATTATATAATAAAATTTAATAATAAAATTATATGATAATAGACTCTACCATGAGCCTATAATGATAATGATGATCTTAGTTATTACAAATTTGGTGTTAAGATTAAGTTAGTATTGTATTCCCCTTAAAATATATTAAAAACATAATAAGATTCGGTTTTCTGCTATTTAACACCCCTACTTGTTTCTAGTTGATCATAAAAAAAGTCGTTAGCAATTTTATTTTATTTAATCTCTTACGTCAAATCATTTGTTTTTATTTGTGCTACGCGGTTGTGTCCAACTTAGTCGTCTGTTGGAGTCAACTTGAAATATCCAGCTAAAGAAATCCCCAACCAGCAGACCAAGTAATCTAATCTATAAAACCTCTACAAATCTTTCAAACAAAAATAGATCAAAATATCAAACTCAATGGATATAGACCAAGACACAGACCGTGGTGGAAGAAGCTGTTGTAGCTGCTGTCTCAGTTTCATCTTCACTGCTGGTCTCACTTCTCTCTTCTTATGGCTCAGCCTCCGTCCCGACAAACCCAAATGCTCCATCGAATACTTTTACGTTCCTGCCCTCAACAAAACCTTAGATGCGCATTCACGTCTCAACACCACTCTCAACTTCATGGTCCGTCTCGCTAATCCAAACAGAGACCAAGGCATCTACTACGACGATGTCCACCTTTCTTTCTCCAACACCAACTCCTCTGTTGCTAACTACACAGTGCCAAGATTCTACCAAGGACACAAGAAGAAGGCCAAGAAGTGGGGTCGGACCCTTCCTATGAACAACCAGACGGTTTCACGAGCGGTTTTGTCTAATGGATCGGCGGTTTTCCGGATGGATCTGAAGACGCAGGTGAGGTTCAAGATTCTTTTCTGGAAAACCAAGAGGTATGGCATCGAGGTTGGTGCTGATGTTGAAGTCAACGGAGATGGAGTTAAGGCTCATAAGAAAGGGATTAAGATGAAGAAATCTGATTCTTCTGCTAGATTAAGAAGCTATTATCCGATTTGTGTTTTGATGAATCTGCTCGTGTTCTTTGCGATTCGTTAACTGATTCTTGATTCTTGATTTCTAATAGCTTTTTCCATATTATTGACTCTTTTCAAGAGTTTTCTTGTTTGTTAGTTTCTAGATTCGACCAAGAACCCCTCGAATAATTTATTCCATTAATGTTTTGTTTCAACGATAAATTAATTAGTTTATGTCAACAAAATTCTTTTTGAAATTCAATTATCCTTATACAAGACTTAGTTATATCTTGGGATTGAAATGAAGGAACAAAACACAGGACAGAAATCACATAATAATATAGTAGTGACTTTTGATCCAAAAAGAAATATACTTAGTAGTGAGTAGTGAGTAACCGTAAAAGTGTGAAAATAAAACTGTTTGAATCCACAAAAGGAAAATGTGAGTTTATGAATTATCACTTTGAAAATAAAATTGTTTTAAAAGTGATATTTTATCTCAAATAACCAAAATTAAAATTAAAATAGATATCTATAGCAAAATTGCGTGTGGCGCCGTCTTAGAAGAACAAGTTGTCTTCTTACTTGTTTATGTCAGTTCGACAATATCTTAATGAGTTGTATTATATAACCAATCGCATATTGTATTGTAATTGTGCTTAATATTTTAGGAATGCGTTGCTTTACGACTCATCTGTTAGAGCATCTCCAATGTATTACTCCATTTTCTACTCTAAAATGGAGTAACTCCAAAATGCAGTTGAGCTTTACTCCAATGTATTACTTCATTTTCTACTCCAAAAGAATATTTTTAATATTATATTTATTTCAAAATTAGGAATATAACCTTTCATTTATACTATTTGCAAAACAGTCTATTAAATTTATAGCATTTCTATTAAATACAATATTAATCACAATTAAATTTTTATTATATAAATAAAATTACTCAACAAGGTTTTAAAAAAATACATTTAATACATTAAAAATTACATTATATAGCTTAAACACAATAATACATCAATTCCAAATTATTCATTAGAATTATAATAATTTTCCCGCAAATGATCAACTAATGCATTTCGAAGTAAAAAATGAGTTTCTTTATCTTTGATTTCTCTGAAACGGGAAAGAAACTTTTGGAACCTCACATTATTATTTTCTTCAATTTCAATTTTCCTTGACAGGACATCTCTTTCAACTTCAATTGGCACCTCGAGATCACAATCATCTTCTATTATCATGTTATGTAAGAATTTAATAATATTTTATCGGATTATTTTAATAATTTTAATGGATCCGAAAATGATTTATCGGATTATTAAGCAATTATATTTGTTGTAAGTTTTATTTTATGTTATTACTTTTGTATGGTGCTTATCTTTCATTTTCTATATGTATGATCTTTTATGTTTTATATTATATATATTATGTTGTATAAAAGAGTTCATCAGATGGTTATTTATATAATTAAAAATATTAACAGTAAATTTTAAAATATGTATAGTAAAATAATATTAATATACTTATTTATAATAATATTTTTATTAAAAACGAGGCTATTTATATAATTAAGAAATATTAACGGTAAATTTTCTAATATATAGTAAAATAATATTAATATACTTATCTATAATAATATTTTATTAAAAATGAGGCTATTTATATAATTAAGAAATATAACAGTAAATTTTATAATATATATAGTACTTATTTATAATAATATTTTATTAAAATGAAACATATATAAATGTGGAGGACTATTTGATAAATAAAAAAGTTCAACTCCATTTTGGAGTAATGAGTTGGTTTACTCCATATTTGGAGTAATCATGTTTGTTACTCCATTTTGGAGTGAATTTTGAAGTAGGGTTGGAGATGATTTTACTGCAAAATGAAGTTTGGAGTGGGTTTTGGAATGTGGTCGGAGATGCTCTTAACCTCGTCTTTTGCTAGTACTTTTATTTTGTTTCGATTGTTGTGAAAGTTGCCATTGATTACTATAAAAGTTGATAAAAATCAATTTTAAATATTTTTTTCCGGACGAATCTTTCAATGAGCATGTGGAAGTATTATGTAGGGTTAGATAGTTGGTAGTATTTAATTGTTTTGGTTTAATACTATGATATAAAATCACATTATCTGCTTTGGTAGTATTTAATTGTTTTGGTTTAATACTACGATATAAAATCAAATTATCTGCTTTGGTATCATATATTCCAAGTTCCGTCTACTCTATTCGGAAAACTATAGAGACTTTTAATAAAGTAAATTGATTTACATTTTCTCTTCCTTCACTTTTTATTCATTGATTTGGTTTGCTTGTTTTCCAACTCGTTATGCGTATGTAACATAGTCGTGTCAGCGACTAAACTTGACATGTCAGATAAACTATGACAACCAGAAGGTTTTCGGGTGGTATTCAGGCTACTGTGAATCTTGAAGTCAACAAGGATGAGCCACAAAAGTCACATATCGCTCGGTCAACCTCTTAACATTTTTGCGTATTTGACTGAGCCACAAAAGTCACATATCGCTCGGTCAACCAGGGGGTTATGTTGTTTGACTCTTTCATCTGTTTTGATTGTCACGAGATTGTAATTTTCTTTTACTAGATTGTAAGTTGGTTTACTAATCACAATATAAATGATAGAATATTTTCTTTATCAATATCGTAGTCTACATCTCATCAGATAGCGCTGAAGGATAATCCTCCTCTCGCTACCATATCAACATAGAGGATTTCACCGAAATCGTTTGAAACCAGCTCTTGCAAAAAAAAAAATAGGGTTTGCATTATGTGGACTAACACAACAGTGAACTTAACCTGATGAGAATAAATTCCCCAATGACAACAAATCTAAAGCCGAGAAATAGCGAAGTCATAAAATAATCGAAGCATATAGTCAACAGTACAGACGCATGGAGAATAATATCACGGGATCATGGATAGAGTTGAGATAATAATATAAACGAGACTACTGTACGGCCCAATAGAGTTGTATTTATCCAATAGCAACTTTTGTATTTGCCAATCCAACAGAATAAATGTTTTCGAAAAACAGGTTTAATGTAAATACTTTTGTGTTTGCCAATCCAACAGAATAAATGTTTTCCAAAAACAGGTTTAATGAAAATACGTGTGCATATGTAAGATTACATGAACGGAATTGTAATTTGTAAAGCAACTTTTCATCATATATTTTCTGTTGTTCTTGACTTTGAAGTTTGGATTCTTCATCTATCACCATAGAGTTTAAGTTAGTACTATTTTCTAATTTCTGGTAATCATCCACGTACCATTTTAATAATCTCAATTCTGGGAATTACATATACGTTTATGAATAAAAAATACTAAGATTGAAATGAAATTGATGGGTCAGTGCTATAATCTCACGTCACTATATTTCACAAAAATTTAAATTAACAACAATTCAGCATGAACTACTTTTTCTACAACAAAATTAATATCTCATGTAACTTTTAGATAAAAATAAAATTAAAAGCCGGCATGGGCCAACATATTACTTCCACTAACATTATTCCAAAGTTATCTAATATCTGAGTTAAGACTATTTTTTTCCCTCGCCCAATCAAAATATGCATATCAAAACATTATTCTCTCTTAATCATGGAATCTAATTATTCATTTCCAAAAAAAAAAATAGAATAGCTAAAAAAGGAAGAAACAAAAGCTCCTTTCCGTCATAATTAAAAAAGATATTTCTTCTTCTTCTCTTGAATCAGTGAAGACTACTTGAGCTATATAGATCCATACGTTCTTCTATAACGAGAAAATTAATATGTATCATTTATACATCCAAATATTAATATAACAACAACAATAAAAATAACTAGATGTGTTTTGAAACGTGTTTGGAGTTAATCGTGTGAAAAAACTTACCTTCAGGTTTCAATAGTTCTTGTATATATCATCTACATAGTTATTCTTCAATTACACATTACTAATTTGAGGATTGGTTTAACCAATTTGGTTATAAATCTATAAATATATATAAATGAAAAAAAAAACTTTTCACTTGTCAATTGACTTATTTTGCTTCTTCGTGTAAAATGTGGTGATCTTCTTATCAACAATCTACGTATATATAGGTTAAAATATATGTCGACCAACATCTAATGCAACTTTTCCATCTTATATCGATCTATCTAAAAGTCCCACCAAAGGTAGGAGTCCAAAAATCTACTGTAGTATCGTGTGTCACTGGAAATGTGCTCGAAACTGGTACTAAACATAAACCTCGACTTCTAAGATCTGGTTCTTCGGATACTTCTAGCACGTTGGGATGATCATCACTCTGCATCATTATAAAAAGACAAAGATAAAGTTATAATTTTTTTTGATAATTGCAAACCGTCTCGCTACATTGTTTCTTCGAATAATGCTTTGTCAAATCTTGAAGATGAAGCAACCAGTAAAAAATGTATTAATGTAATAAAGTCATAAAGAATACGAGCCGCACGGTATTTCAGTCATACAATAATAACTACCTGTTGATGATGTAAAGAAGCTCCCCTTTTCATGTATGGGTTACTCAGAGCCTGAATTATAATCATTTGCAGGTTTGTACATCAGTAAAAATATAATAACTAACTAATAATAGAGATGTAGCAAAACAAAGTTGCTATAAAATAAGGGATGGGCTAACTTACTGAAACTTGTTGGTGTAAGAACTTAATGTATTCAGTGGCTTCAGAGAGCACTGAGGCTTGATCAGTCTGACACAAAACCACATGACATTCAGTGAAACAAAATCTAAGAATTGTATTTCAATCATTCATCCCCAAAATTGATATTCTATAGAACAGACTTTACATATTGTATATAAAAGAATAAAGATATAATAATGTGACAAGTAATAATGACAGTAGACAAATATACTAATACACACTCATCATTTTTCTGAAAGCTAAAAAGAGAGAGTACCTTTCCGAAAGGTGAAACCAATTGTTGGAGCGCAGCGATTCTGTCACTCATTTTCTCCTTCTTCACCTAATTCAGCAAGATATATTATTTAAATTAAACAAAAGGAGAAAAAACAATAAGATTCATGCAAGAACTTATGGAAAAAAATGTTTTGTAAATACAGAAAAGAAGTCCATCTTAGCAAGCTTGATTATAAATTTTTGTTATTGCTAAGGTTTTGAGATGTCTTGAAACTTGTAATTGCCCTAATTTTTTGATGGAATTGGTAAACTTGATTTCTTCACTTAAATAAAGAGTAAAAAGATCCGTTATTTTTGTCTTTGTGGCAAAAGTGCCCGGCTCTTGGTAGGTGCAAGAAGGGCATTTGCACTAGGTCTTTTTTCTTTTTTTTTGATCAAAGCACTAGGTCTATTTTTTGGTACATTTTTGGTTAAAATTTGAAGCATTACAAAACTATTACAATTGTTCTTTTAAACTTCGAAATTGCATTGGGTCCGTAAATACAATGAGACAGGTATGCAAAACCCTGGAATATTTTAATTTAAATCCACTATAAATTTTCAATACAAAATTTGTATTGTTATAATTAGTTGCAGAGCAACACTTGTGTAAACTCAGAAAATAGAATGTAAATTTCCCATTAGTACAAAAAAAAATATCAATATGAATAAAGATGCCTATTTTGACCCAAAAAAAAAGAAGTATAAAGATGCCTATATAATTTTAATTTTAATAATAAAGCCAAAAAAAATATACCTTGAAAGCTGGTGACGGAGACGCTGCTTCGCTCTTAGCCCTTTTCGCCGCCGGCTGATCTCCTCCGACTCGTTTTACTTCACTACTACTCGAACCTCTAATCTCCAGCATACTCTGCGATGATAACAATACATTTAAAACATCCTTCTACTTTTTTTTTTGGTAAAAAAACATCCTTACACTTACATAAACGAGCATACGTGCAGCTATATATAATATTCATACCTTAGGTTGTTCGTCAAAACTCGGCGTGTGAATCAGCGGTGGCTGTAACGCCGGGAAATAGTTCGCCGACGCTTCATGATGAGTAGGACCCACGTTTCCCACCGTCGCCGCAGGGTTCCAAAACGTTGCGTTGTTCGAAAATCTCAAAGGTAACGCCGACGCCATCTGATCGGTGCAAGAACCGAACTGAGAGTAACCAAGATTTGACTGCTGATGATTCCTCGACGTGTTGAAGCCAGCTGCTTGATGATGATGATGTTGATACATAACTGAAGATGAGTTAGGTGTTGTTGATGCTGGTCCGTACAAGGTGTTGGACGTGTTGTCGGAAGAGAAACCTTGACACGTCACTGTACTACTGTCCGTACTTGAGCTGCCGTGAGGGCTGAACTGATGATCCAAGAAGAAGCCGCGGTTGTTGCTAGTCATGTTTAGCTGCGGTTTGAAATCGTTGTTATTGATATGTGGATGATCTCTCCACAAAGCTTGGTGGTGAGAGGGATCAGATTCTTGAATAGCGTTTGCGTTTGAGGTGGCATCTAAATTGAGATTCTCTTGAAGCATCAATCCAAAGCTTGTCTCCGCTTTACTATCTCCTCTTCTTTTGTTCCCCGCAATGAAAAATTAAAAGACACAATGATCATAACGTTATTAATCTTATGATTTGAGAAAGAAATGAAGGAAACAATTGTTGAAGACTCACAAGAGAGATTGGTTCCATTGATCAACAGGTGATTGTGAAGAAAGCCCTAAACCAATCATCTGCAGATGATGATTAGTAGCTAGTGAATGATGAAGCTTATCATGGAAAACAGCAGAACCACCAGATTCAATTGAGCTTGCTCTCATGGAAGAGGAAGAAGAAGTTGAGGAAGAAGAAGATACTTTCCACCAGCTTCCTGAATTGATAAAATCATGATGATCTCCCATGGCTTTTTTTTTGCTATCAATACTTATGTACTATATATATGTTGTTGGTGAGTTAGATGATGGATCTGAGTTTGTTGTGTCTTCTCAGATTGTGCTTCACATGAAATGATGATATCCACCCGAGAGAGATACTTATAGTTATAATTTTTTATCAATTTATTATTTTGATCTTTTTTTTTTGGTTTCTGGTAGGGTTTTCGTTAACTATTTATCAAGACATCTGATTAATGTTAGGTTGACATTTTTCAGGTGACTCTCGCTGACTCTTCTGCAGACGTCATACCCAACTTGTAACTTCTACTTTTTTTTTATTAGAGCTTCTTTTTGTTTTACAATGAAAACTAGTATTTCATTTTTCCTATACTTTTCCAGTTTTCTTCATTTGTTATATTTTTTGGTAAAGTTATATATCATTCAATTAGTCTTATAGATTCATACTTATTACTTACTGACCTTCAACTCTTTATATATTTTCTAGGTTTTGTCTTCTTACATCATCATTCGTTTCTATTTTCTATCATATATAAATTACAAGTTGTAATTCATGTTGAACTAACGTAACTACTTGAAACACTTGGAGATATTTTCTTTTGACCAATGGGTTTTCAGATTTACGATTTTTTATAATTTATATATGATAGAATCATAGAAAACAGAAACGAATGATGATGTAAGAAGACAAAACCTAGAAAATATATAAAGAGTTGAAGGTCGGTATGAATCTATAAGACTAATAACTTTACAAGGATCAAACAAGTAATAAAAATAACCAACTAGTAGTAGTCTAGCAGTAAAGATTATTTTTAGGCACAACTTAAATTTATTTATTTTTGATTTAATTATTAAAACAAAAAACTATGAATAAAATAGCTATTATTTGGTTAGTTTGAATTTATGTTTGGTAAAATAGTTTACATAGTTATTTTGTAAAATAAGATCTAGTTATTAGTTCGAAAACATTCTATAATCGGATCAAATAGTGTGATATTAGTTCTACTTTTTAGCATTAAATGCATTTACTTCGAAACTGATCCGATAATGATTTGATACAAAAATAAGAAAAGAGTTAAACATGTGATGAATGAAATGTATTTACAATTGACTTTCTGAATAAATATAAAATGGAAGGAAGAGGTTTGAGACGGATTGACTAGAACCAAAGGAACGTGTCATCGTCACGGTCACGATCACGATCAGAGTCACACACCACTGAGATTATTTTTTATCAGTATTTGCCTCTTTCGCTATGACCTTCACCGTTATCCTCTTTTTCCGGTCATGTATAGTCAACGAGTGGGCTCCACGTGGCGTGCGCGCGTGCTTTAACAGCTGGACCCTACTTGTTCCTTCTCAGAGTCAGAGCCTGAGTATGACACTTTCCTCGTTTTTTAAATCTTAATTAACAAAATTGTATTAATATTTAAATCTGATTTATAAGATCTACATAATTTTTTCACCGTCGTCTCTCTAATCATTTTCTTTGGCCTAAAGTTGGTCTATACGCATATTCTTACGTTTCCAATTCTCAACGAGCCCAAAAGAAAATTGAAAGTCACATGAATATTGAATTCTGCTGTGGTTTCTAGCATCAGTTTTCGATTAAAGTGAAACAGTGTCGAAATTATCACCACATATCACATTTTGATGGATAATTGAGTAGAAGATAAAAAAATTAAAGAAAGATTAGATTCTCTCTCTACCTAAATTTTCCATCTCTTTAGTCAATTACAAAATTATATGCAAAACTCATAATACATAAAATCATAGGTAATATAAGAGAATACAATTTTTCTCTTAATCTTTTCGTTTTTTCATTCAAAATCAAAATACTTCCACTATAATAAGATACTGATAGTAATTTTTATGATTCTGTTATATAGCAAAACTAACGTTTAGGGTCTACGTAAAACACACACAAAAAACTTAAGCAACACCGAAGTTTATTTACCTTATTTTAATAGTGTTAAATTGTCAAATTTCTAAGACAGAATATATTAAAATTACTTAAGTTACTAAGCTTGATGTACTAGTTATTACTTATTACAGTGATTCCCTTTGGAGAATCTAAGAAAGCTCCACAGTTGTATTTGATTTAGTTGGTGATCTATTGACTTGAAGGAAGAAGAAAGTCTCAATTCCCCCTTACGAGAATGGTTCGGGTGGCACTTCACCCCTAATCATACGTCTTTCGCCGACTTTTTATCATTTGTTGGCTTGGATCTCCGATTGATTTTTACCGTCTAAGATTATATTGAGACAAAAACATTGTTCACATATATAACTTTCATAGGTGAAAGACCTGTCCAAACTCTTTCATTTTATCTTTCAGGTTTATCTATAATCAGTTTTGATAATGTCAGCCTTTTATTATAAAAAAAGGTTTTAATAATGTTTGGCTAGCTGCATTACTCAAAAGTTCAAAAGATAGGTAGATATTAAGAAAAAACAAGTTTTCAAATGTACTACTAGAACTGGGTAAAAAAACTGAACCCAAAAAAATCGAACCAAATCCGATCCAAAAAAGTAGTACCAAAATCGAACCAAAATTGATTAAATATCCGAAGGGTTCAAAATTTTGGTATCTAGAGAACCGAAACCAAACCCGATCCGTACCGAAATATTTCGGGTACCCAAATATATCCGAATGAAATTTATACAATTGAATATATTAGTTTCTTTTTAGATTTAATATCCAAAATACATCCAATATATTTGAAAATATATATACAAATAGTCAAAAATAAATATATAAAACAGCAAAACAATACTCAAACATCAGAAATAATTAAAATATATATTGAATTTCCATCCAATTATTCAATCCAAATCATTTTTTATGTTTTTTTTTTTGCATACATTACTCAATATATATGTGATATATTATTTTTATTTTTAGATTTTGGAGAAATTCAAAATATATATGAATTTAAAATTTTTAAAAATAATTTAAATGGATTATCCGAATCCGAACCGAACCCGCAAAAATCCGAACTGAACCCGAACCGAAATTTATAAATATCCGAATGAGGCTAAAATCTTTAACCCCGAAATCTGAATGAACCCGAACCGAACCCGAATAGGTACCCAAACGTCCATCCCTATGTACTACCATGGATAAACTCATAAAAGTATTATGCATTGTGATGAAACCCTGGTGAGGAGATTCTTTTGTCCATGATCCTTTGAAGGGTGATCTGGTGGTTTGAAGGATAGATGATGATGGGATAGAAGGTAGAAATGGTTGATGAAATTCAGTGAGGATCTGTGGATTGATCAACACTTGGGTAGATGTGTCTTTGATCAAGAGAATGAACTCTTATTTCAATCAAAGACAAGTTTTGCTTGCAGAGAATGAACTCCTAGCAATCAGTGTTCAAAGATGAACAAAAGATTCACAATTTAGAGAAAGTTTTTTAATAAAAAGATGAATGTATTATTCAGAAACAAAATAGAGTTTAAGTAAAGAAAAAAAGCAAACCGAAAAGTCATAAAATTATAGAAAATAAGAAAAACTTAATTAAAACTTAAATTATTTTGAAAACTAAACTATTAATTATTTGGCTGCTTCTTGACACTAATTTCGTGGCTGGCTTATCAAATAGAGAGAATAGACCCTCAATTTGTGTGTTGATCTTCTTTTGGATTAAGAAAGTTCTAGCTCGTCTATGAGTCTGATCCACATCTTTCCACCTTGTTTCTCATGTTTTTAATAGCCAAAATAAGTTCATTATGCTTCATTCCAGCTTCTGGTTCCTCTTCAAGCTTTCCACTCAGCCATCCCGATTTATTCTTTGTCGCATAGTCATCTGGCTCAACCATGCATCACATTGTGATATGTAGTATTTAAGTCTTGTGGAAATATGATCGTTGAAATTTACAGCACCAAGCCATATGAAACTTGAACTCATGACCATTAGAACTTTACTGTTTTGCTGTAATAATATCTACTACATAATTTTTCTTGATGTATACATACTACTTTCTTCTGAGTAAATTAGATTAACACCCAATTGCATTGTATACAACATTGCTCTCTAACATTGACTACTGCACTACAGAAACTAGTGTTACTGCATAAGGAGAAAAAGTACGGGCTACAATGGAATATACTAAACTTATTAAATTGTGATGATATTAATCATCTCTCCATGAGTTATAATTACATACTAGCTTGTGTCATACGACATGCTAATCGATCTTTTTTGCAATCCAAAAATTTGTAGCAATATCCGCTGGTATACGCATTCAGATTTTGTAGTATTTTCAGCAATACATAACAACTAAGATTGGCTTGATTTTTTACATTTACACGGAGGGAGCTAGATTGAGTAGATGGAAACGTTAGAATGACGTAATCATGTGGTGTGATAAAAAGACAAAAAAAAACACAGAAAAGAAGATGAACATGAGAATTATACAGTGAGGATTGAGAAAAGTAAAGAAAAAGCAGAGGAAAGACACTGTCGCGAAGACAAGCCCACACGGCCTCTCTCATGGCCTTCCATCATCCCATCATTGACTACTTCGATTTCACCTTTATCCTTATTTTTCTAAAACAGCTGAATGTTTTTGGTCTTCCACTATTTCAAATGGAAATGAAATCAAGTTTTTGACAAATCCAATTCCTATAAGAGTAAGAAAGACTACATACTCAATGATGACAAAAATAACGTGTAACATACACAAATATATTATCCAGTAATCGGAGAAGATATTTTTCTCTTTATACATTATCTTGTTACTAAATCATACACATATATATATATGAGTTTGTGCTCCGTACCTCATCCCCCATAATTTTTAATTTATATATAAACAAACATCCTAAGAAAATAACTATACAGTAGTTCATGCATGTTTTCATATTAGAATATAGTAAATGTTAAGTTAAAAAAAAAAAAAAGATAAAGTAAATATTTTTATATATATAGTCAAAAACGATCATCATCATTATTCCATGAGCACACAATAGAACTCGACCGTCATAATTTTTTGGTTTG